AAAAAAAAAAAAAGAAAAGAAAAGAAATTATTGTCTTTGGGGCCCTTGTGCCTGGGAGTGATTAATTCCTGACCTAGGACAACATCAATGGGAATGGAAACATTTTAAATAATAGTAGACAATAAGGTGGATTGGACCCTTGAGAGCTAGTTACGAGGAACAAAAGAAATAATAGATGCGAACGCATACTTTTGAGTGCTAACATACTATAATAAGATACCTTTTTCACAATTTGAGTCTGAACATGAATAATGAGGTTTGATGCTTCTATGGAGTAAAACTACCCTGATGGTTGGCCCAAATGACAGCATGGTGGTGGTAGCATCCATGTCGCCGTTTATATACACTTCTTGGCCTTCCCTCTTACCTCCCCACCTAACAATCAATATTGGTCAGCTGGTGCCTTATGTTTTAAAGCAAACAATGAACATTACATGAGTTAAATTTTATAGCTAGTTGCTTAAAATAGCAGAACACACACAAAAAAGGGAATAGGTCCTAATTCTACAGAAAAGTGAGCAAACATGCTGATTATCTAAGCCTTTATCTAAAGCAAGTCAGAGAGAGATCTAGAGTCAGGTGCCTCAGAAAACTACAGGAGCTTTCTGCTGCCATCCTTGTAGGGTATGAATCAGCAGTTATGCTTACTGACTGGCTACCAGAAAGAAATGTATAATCCAGGGCACTTGTAACTCAAGGAAAACCCCTTCCAAAAAGGCAAAGAGGTCCAGTATTGGTCCCATACTCCCTACTTAACCAATAGATCAATCACTGGCTCCTCCAGGGGTTAGGGATCTTCAAATCGAACCTTCTTATTTTAGGGCCAGAAATTTTTATCTCCTGGGTAAACAGTCTTGTTCCAAACCTCAGAAATAAAGACACTGTATTCATGGATCTCATCACTGCATGAGGTTATGCCAACAACACACATGATAATTATGAGTCTGTCATTTCATTAGCAGCAGAACAATTTGGTTTGAAAGCACAGCTGAATTCTTTGTTTTAAATACCCAGAAAGACTGCTTATATTCTACTGTCAGTCTTATATATCATGGTCCATAGCTATTGCCATTTCTAAATAAATAGTCAACTGTCTTCTAAGGCAAGGCCTGTGTAGTTTCCTTACAGCCTATTTCCTTAGTGATAAACTTCTCTTAACATGAACACTATACCATGTCACAAATCTGCAGGGTCATCTTCTGACAAAGTGGTTAGCAATAGGCTGTGCCTGCAGGAGGCAGGGGAAGGCTTATGTGCCTCCTGGCAGTCCCATTTTCATGTCTCTGAACCTCATGAGAATGCATGTGTGTTGGCTCAGAGGCAAGGTGAGAATGAGGCCAGGGAGTGGAGAGAACAGGTGAGAAGAACAGTTCTGCAATGAGACAGACAGTTCAACAGGGCCAAAGTTTACCGTGGGTTCCATACTTGTTTCCAGTCTATGGTACTTATTTGTTAACATCCAAGTGTATAAAATATCTCTGGTCTCACTTTCTACTTGCCATCAAGAGAAACTTGAACTTATCCCAAGGAAGAGTCTCCTAAATTTTTTATAGTTATATTAAAATCCACTAAGAATTAAATAGACGTAAAAATAATCTTCCTTTAATATGTTTATCAAGCTAGCTTTTTGTTTGCTTGTCAGACTGACACTTCTTAGCTAGGGCAAAATAATATTATTTCTCTCTGTTTTTCATAAAAGTTCCCTGTGGTCACTGGACATTAGTGTCCCTTCATTTTTTCCCTCCTGGTTTACCTTATATTTTAAGTTCTGTCTGCTAATTTTTAAAATTCTGTCTTCTAATTTTTATTTCAAGCCACCCACATTTTCTTCTACGTCTCAAGAAAAGAACGATTTTTAACGAAGCTTTAGTCAATGCTCATTAGGTATATATTTCCCTGGGCAGGACCAGAGTTGCAGAGTTCACATAATATTTCAAAGCAGAAAACATATTTCCAGGTGTTACACTGAAGCCAAATATCCTAACTGCATATTCAAAACAGTTTGTGCTTTTGAAATGCAAGTTAGAATAGGATGGACAATAGCAGTCTGAACACAAAGGGACATTCAGGTGACCTGTAATATGAGTCACTGCTTAGCTACCGACTTTGCAAGGAGCGTCACTGAGGCAAAAACTACCCTGTGTATGTAATTATTGTGGTTACAAGAGTACTTAGCAAACACACCACTAGATTTTTGTTCCTTTTTCCATATTATTTGGAAGCATAGTATTAAAATTTCTTTAATGGTTTCCAAATTCGTGAGTCAAATTTCATGTCTAAAGAGACTTAAAGAAAACAAAAGTCTCTAATCTAATTATCCCCAAATTTAATTCAACAATATTTTCCTTTTATTTACTATTATCTCAAGACTTAAAAAAAATTAAAATCTGTATGTGCTATGGGAATGCACTGAATCATTGGTAGAGCACATAAATTCCAGCAAGACACTTTGTTAAATGATCTGCTCTTGCTCATGATCTTTCTATTCCACCAATTTTGCTTGGTTTCTGATTTCACTGAGTTGGGATTAAATCAGTGTGTTGCTCCCACTGCATAATTTAGTACTGCTTTAAAACGATGTAATTACAAACCTCAATGGCAGATTGTGAATTGCATTCACTGTCATAACTGCCATTAGCATGTTTTAAATTCTTTCAGAACAGTGGGATAAAAGTGTCATGTTAATATGCTAATATAAGTTCCACCACTATGTCTGCTATCGATTATCTGTTGCACTGTAGACTTGGATGGGATACAAAACCAGACACAGAACATTGGAAGATGTCAATGTTTTGTAACTCAAATAATTTTTAAGAAAAATATTACCTTAAGACAATAAAACTGGGGGAAAGTTAGCATAAGATTTTAAAATTATATAATTTTCTGTATAGTCCTAATTTTATAAATGGGTATAGTCCTAATCTAATAGTCTTCTTGAAGGAAAGAGAACATTTTGGGCAGTTACCTACTCTAATTCTGATCACTTTATGAAGAGTTAAATTAAAATGCTTTATGAAGGTTTTCCAAAGCCTTATTTGATGTCTGCTGTATTCGCTCCCATTACTCTGCCAGCCTACAAGCCCTTCCCTTTTGTGCAACTAAATTGAATTTCTTCTTTACTCCAAGTTCTCAACTCCCTTTTTATCTGAATCTAGAGATGGTAGGCCCATTTAAAATTAATGTAAAATCTTCCTCATCCAGGAAGCCTCCCTGGTCACATACTTTCTGGTTTTAAATAAACAACAAAAAATTGTTTTCATGATTACAAAACAAACTCTCACATGCTTTCTCTTTAATGTAAGTTGTTTACAATCTGCACATAAACAATTTCCTTTTGAGAAAAGTCTGGAATGTGGAAAGCCAATTGTCAAATGGCTAGCTCTAGTATTCTGTGGGTACTCAAGCCTCATTCATTAATTTAAATTCATTTTAGCCCTCTTCATCACGTTTCTTGCTTAAATTTATCTAAACAATTGACACTTTTGCTACTTTATAAATTACTAATTTGAGAGAAACAAAAATAGCCTGTTTCTATGTACAAATTGAGAAGCTACAATTAAGTTCTTGATCGTCATTATCTAAAAAGATATGCACTTTGATCCATATAATTTCCCTGCCACGCATTTCTAGATGTTTATAAAAGAACTGAATTGTGGTGGGAAAAGGTTCCAGTGCCTCTTAACGATTACAATAACTCTCTTGTAATTTATTGAAAGCAAGTGGTATTCATTTACTCTTTTTCTTTAAGTTCATAATAAAAGCTGACAGGTAGATTTTTGTTCAGAATCTTCAGATTGGTAGATCTAAAGGGTTTGAAACTAGATAAAGGCATATTTCAGACTAAAGAAATAAGCTTTTAAAGCAAAGCACTGGGAACTGCTTTGGTTGCACAAACTGAGTTCAGTCCACTTGTTTGAGTATTTGGAGACAAATGTTACTACGGTTAACTATGCACACTGAGAAGGATGTATTACTACATTGTGACTTGCTGTACTCTATGAAAGTGACGGAAATAAAAGGAGAATTTAGGAATAATGAATTGGTACCTCTCTCTCCCTTCCTTGAATTTGGTTATAAATAGGGATACCTGGCTAACTGGTTCTAGTCCGGGTGTTGCCGGTTTCTAGAAATGTTCTCTTCCCTACAGCTTTCCAATAGCAGCTGCTGCACTGCATGGCAAATGATTAACTCTGTCACTTCGGACTTTGCATGCCTGCTTTTAGTATGATGGGTTTCAGTCTTAGAGTGGAAAAAAAACAAAAGTCAACCTTCAGTCTTACAGTACAACAATTTTAATAGCTCACACATAAGCAGGTAGTAGTACAGTTTTGTAGTCCCACATTAAAGGCAATCCAATCCCACTTTAAAATGCTGCAATTTAAGGACGATTCTTCTCTCCCTGCCCACTCACTTAAGGTAAAAATCTATGGCGGTACCCCTAAAGTGCATTTCTTGGGCATTAAAAATAGCACGGTGATTCACGTTCCATGAAATCTTGAATAAGGGCACACTGTCCTCAATTGAGGGACCGGAGTTCAAGTTGAGCCACCATCTCTGAGAGAAGGACCCTTCTCACTCCCACTGGTGATATGAGCCAGGGGCTGGATCCCAGAATAGCTTTCTGAAGAAAATAATTATGCAACCTCTTCAGCAGCAGGTATCTTCCTTACCGCAAATAAATACTTAATGCATCCTTGAGTCATGAAATATTGAAAACTCAATTGACACTTCAATTTTCAGAAACATAAAATCAGGAAGGCATGGTGTGAATATTCGGAATTTGGTATGGTGAGACACCAAGTCCAGGGGCGGGTCAGAAGTCTCGGGGTTTAGAACTGGAGCTTGGGGGTCATGGTGGGAAGAGAGAGAGTCCTGGAGCCCTCGGGCTATTGCTTGTCCTCGTGGGGATCACCAAGGGCACCCGCCTCCTCTGGGGACTTGCCTCCCTCCGGGAGCAGCGTGGCGCGCACTTTCCTCTTCTCCTTAAAGCGGCCCGAGCGCGAGATCTTCAAATTGCGACGGCTGTTGCCCGACTTCTCCCCGCACAACTTGTCTGGCTTGGGGGGCTCGCCGGCGCCCCCGGGGAGGTTGGGGTGCTGGTTCTCTCGGGAACTGCTAGTCCAGTCCGGGGTGGGCGGCGCGGGTTCCCCGGAGGCGGGCTGGGCCGGAGGCTGCGCCCCCACCGTGCCTTCCTTGCTCTTCTTCCTGCTGTTGGCGAGGGATTTCCACCAGGGGCCGGAGCTGCCGGTGCCGCCGCTGTCGGCCATGGTCGGCCGAGGGGTCCGGGTGCCCTGATGGGGAAGGGCCTCGGTGGCTGCTCTCTCTCCGCGTGGTCTCTGGCCGTCCACTCCACCCCTTCCCCGACTTCTCCCACGCGGCTACGGGGTGGGTGCCGAGGACGCGCCCTACGCTGGGGAAGAAAATAAAACTTAGTTACTGGGTTGGTCGAAGTCCCGTGCCCCTCAATCCCATTTCCTCTCCGACGCTCCGCCTGGCACCGGATCGGTGGGGCTCACAGCGCCCCAAGCCCGGAGTCGGGTAGCCCCCGGTAGGCACCGCCGCACCCCCGAGGGTGCGGGCGAAGAGCGGCCTCCAGGGCGCCGCTACCTGGTCTGAAGGCCGAGTCTGGAACTCCCCTGTCTACAGGGGAAGTGCAGTGGTCAGGGTATGGGGGGCACCCAGGGGAGCTTCTTGGCCATCTTGGGTCAACCAGCAGGAGAGGGAAAGGGCCCGTCCTATCCACACCCCCTGCCAGTAGACGGACGCCCAAAGGTGACCCACCCGCCCAGAGCGGTCTCCCTTGGATGGGAACCCAAGAATGGGGCGGTCAGAACTAAGCGCGTCCTCTCTGTAGGTCAACAGTGAGTACTAGTTCACGGTCAAACAGTCATGAAATTTCTCTCACGGATTTCCCCCCCATAGACTTCTGTCCCTAGAGCCTTTCGATGTGATACTACGTAGAACTTATATTCCAGTAAGAGAGAAAGATAAGCTTATGATGTTTGGGGTTTCCTTCTTTAAAATTCTGCTTTTAACTACTTCTGCCTCGTGACTTTCTGAGAAGCCTGTCGAGATTTAACTTCCCTTGAAAACCACCGTCCTACTCTTCCTTTTAGTGCCCAGAGACCAATCTTGCGCCTTTCTGAAGCCACCCCAGCCGACGGTTGAGAAGAGGCCAAGTAGAATGTCCTCTTCCCTCGGCTCTGCATTAAAATATGCACCAAGTCAGCGCTACGCAGTTCAACTCTTGAAATTTCTACTACAAATGAAAGGCCTCTGTTCTTTTCCTCCTGCGATTCCCTCGGGTCCAAAGGAGAGCGCGCGCAACCAGGAACTCGCAAACAAATCGCTTCTTCCCCAAGCTCTTACTACCCCTTCAGCGCGGCGAAAAGGCCGCTAAATAGCACCTAGGTGCAAATACGGTAAACGAGACTCTGTCCACTCTCTGCGCGGGGTCTACGGGGCGCTGCCAACGGGAACGCGCAGGGCTCGCTCGCGCCGCGGCTCCCTACCGGGTTTCCGCCGGGCGGCGCGTCCCAGCCCACGCGCCGACGCTCCGGGGATTGGCGAGCGCGCTCGGAGGGAAACTTCAGCGCCGTTGGGTGCAGGAGGTTCTCCTCCCGGAACCGCAAGGGAGAGGAAGTGGGAGCGCCTACGGGAGGCGGTCTCGGCTGCGCCCCGAAACCCTGAGGCCCCGGCTCCTCCCCTGGACGCCTGCGGACACGCTAGCGCCGCGACTGGAAAACAATACAAGAAAAGACGGCCAAAAGTTCTTTCGGTACAAAAGGCACCCGCGCCCTCGGGCACAATCTACGGCTGAGTTGCAAACATACTATTCTCTCCTACGTTGCAGATCAGAAAGGCACCCCCCTCCAAGCTGTTTACTACTGGTGGCGGTGGGGTGTCTTGATGTTGTTTACTGTCCTCTGAGCCACACTTTCTTCTCCACAATTAGCAACTTTGTGAGAACGGAAGGACTTTGTACGCATTGTGCAAGGAAAAGACGCAGATGTACCGAGAACGCAGTCTTGGAGGGTCCGTGGTTTGCCGGGAGGCGGGGGACTGGGAGGCACAGGGCAGCATCTCAGGGTGACACCCCGGTGCCCGGCTCTCTCTCGGTGGACGGAGAACTACCCCAAGTCGCTCACCTGCTCGGGCTCCCCAGGACCCGGCGGCCTCGCGCGGCGATCGTGGCCGAGAGCACGAAGGGGGCGCGCTCGGGTCAACCTGGAAGCTTGGGGCTCCGCGTCCCCGGGCGCGGACTTGGAGAGATTCAGGCTTCTGGAAAGGGTGCCAGCCGTGATCTCGGCAGCCCAGCTTGATCAAGTGCGGCAGCGGGTCTCCTCGGCACCTCCAACTCCTGCGCGCCGCAGCGGTGGCGGCCCGGGGCTTGTTGCGCGGTCCGCGGTGGGCGGAGGGCACGGTGGCGGGGCCCGCGGGACTCG